TCTACATATCTGATTGACGACTAGCCTTAATCGAAAGTTCTCTCTCATGATCAGGAGGGGTAATTAACTATAGGGTCTCGCGCCTATAGGAAACCAGAACTCAGATCATAAAGTCCTCACAAAATGAGGGCGAAATCTCTGGGTAGTGTCTTATCTACAAACCCATCTGCCTTCCCAAAATTTACCTCGAAACTTATTCAGTTAAAACTCCCTCGCCGAATAAAAAGAAAAACGAGCGGAGGCTGGGGCCGAATTTTCAGAGCCCACAAGTATTGAGAGAATATAGAGGATTTACATTTGATATTTATTGATCTTGAGAAAGCATATGATAAAGTTTCAAGAGAAGTGCTTTGGAGAGTTCTAGACAAGAAAGGGGTTAATAATGCTTATATTCAAGTCTTTATTGATATGTATGTAAGAGCTTTTATTTGTGTTCAAACACAAATTTTCCTATTTCAATCGGATTACATTAAGGATTAGCTTTTACCCCATATCTTTTTGCTCTAGTCATGGATGCTCTTACTACACATTTCCAAGAGTATGTACCCTGGTGTATGCTTTTTGCTTATGTTATTCTTTTTCTTGATAAGATTAGAGAGGGAGTTGAAGGTATACTTGAACTATGGACGTCAACGTTAGAGTCTAAAGGTTTTCGTTTGAGTAGATCCATGGTTTAAAATTGCGCAATATGAAGCTCGCCTTGAGGCCCGCCTTTATGTAATTCCAGTAAAAAACGCCTCGATGCTAACGCCAAGAGTTTTTTTATGAGGCTTGCGCCTCAACTTGGTTGAGGCCCGCCTTAAAGCCCGCCTCTCCTCACTAGCATGAGGCTTACGTCTCACACTATATATATTAAAACTTACATAAATCTTGAAGTAAACGTCCGACATTTGACTCTATAGGAGAGTAGGAAGGGGAGAGAGAAGTTCACCATAATGATGATTCAAATGAAGAACCCCATAGTGATTACAATGCTGATGACTTATGAGTTCTTATGTGATATGTCATTGCTATTTATTTTTGGAAATTGGAATTATATGTTAATTAAAAAAATACTGGGATTTGGGAAAGATAGAATTTTGAGTTGAACTATATTTCATGTTGTCTTATTATTGAGATATTTTGATTTCACTTCATATCTTATGTTTTTTATATTTTATATTGTTCACTCATTAGTACATAAAAAAAATTATCATTTTATGTTTACGCAATTTTTTTATTTTGAGGCTTACGCCTCAAAACGTCTTGATGCTTATGCCTCACCTCACGAATGAAAAACGCCTCAATACCCGAATTCGTAATTTTAAACATTGAGTAGAACTAAAATTGAATACATGCAGTATAGTTTTAGTAGTAATAGATTTAGTAGGGGAGTTGTGACTTTGGGCGATTAATTCATTAATAAAAGTACAAGTTTTAGATATCTCAGATTTTTTATTCAAAAATGATGGTGGAATAGAAAGGGATATGTTTAGTAGAATTCATGTTGGATGGTTAAAGTGGACGAATGCATTGAGCTTGTTGTGTGATAGAAAAGTACCTCTCAAACTTAAGGGAAAATTTGATAAGATTGTGGTAAGACCTGCAATGCTTTATGGCGTAAAATTTTAACTATTAAAAGAGAAGCATAAAATTAAGTTGTGATACAGAGATGAAGATGCTTAGGTGGATGATTGGCTTCACTCTTAGAGATAGAGTGTGAAACAATTATATAGGTGAAAAGGTTGGAGTAGCTCTAGTGGCATATAAGATTTAAGAGAGTCATCTTTGATGGTTTGGTCACATAAAATATTGGCCTTCCGAATACTTGGTTAGGAGAGTAGATGTATTAGATTTGGCCTATGTTAAGAAAGATAGATGTAGACCTAAAAAGAAATGACCTTTTTTTATTAGATTTAAATAAGAATTTGACTCTTAACACGATGGTTTGGATAAAAATGATTCATGTAACTGACCCAATATAGTGGGATCAAAGCTTGATGTTGTTGTTGTTGTTGTTGCTGCCTCTCTTTTTTTCAATCAATTAGCTTTATTTATGTCTACTGAGGATGTTTTTATAATTGCTAATTCATCATTGAATTTTTTTCTCACCATATTTTTAATATTGCATATTGATTTATTGTGGATTTTGAGGGAGGAAGGTTCCTGCCCTACAAGGTAGAAAGGCTCTAGATAAGCAGTATGCAATTGGTGTTTTGGCTGGAAGGTTCATTCGGTTTTGGGTTAAAGAACACTAGACATCTTGGGCATGTTTTTATTTGGGGAATGATTGGCCATTCTTTTTATGCTTTGCTTAGTAACCATTATCATTGATGTCATGATGTTGAGTATCAAAATTGATAATCTTTTGATTTTAACACTAATAAAGCTATATACGGAAATGTTTTGCATCTGTGAATACTTTGTTCATATTATACCTCTATGTTTAAGGAAAAAATGTCAAATCTTCTAAGTTATTTTTCTCTGAATTGATTGGATTGTATAAACAGTTGGACTGAAGGGACTTCATTTTTTCACTGTTTTAGCTTTTGTGAAATTTTCTATCCAAGTTATTCTTCTCTGAATAGTTTTGATTCATATAACAAGATGATCTGAAGGGACTTTAAGTTACACATTTTTTTATCTTTTACAACTTCCTGATAAGTACAGCATGTTGGCAGGCAAAACAAGTCGGTGGAGAGGAACAACCTCCGACTAGAAGTGGCCAATTAGATGATTTTGAAGAGAACTTCAAGGAACTGAAGAAATGGGTGGATGTCAAATCTGTAAAGTATTGTATGCTCCTTGTGGTGTGGGAACGTCGAAATCAAAGGCTTGGAACGGCATTGAAGGTAATCGGCCTAGGTTTCACAAAATTTGTGGCATTGATTTTGTTGATCGGGTTCAGTCCTGTATTCCGTGAAATTTTTGTTCTGTTACTGATTAGTCTCCCTTGTTAGATAATAAATTAAGATGTTTTGTAATCTTCTAACTCAACTTCCTCCTATTTCCTCAAATGCTTCTTTTACTAGCTTAATCTTTCGTCGCTGTCATATTTGTTTCTCTTTGGAGCAGCTAATAACTTCACCTACAAGCAATTTAATTCCAAGTTAGTAGAGTAATATAAACTAAAGGATACAAGCTCTCGCTATTACTTGTAACTTTCTTTTTATTAGCTTTATTCCTTCTATTATCATTAGCTTTATGATCACTTTTAACTCTCATTTCACCTTATTATTATGATGATTATTTTCTATATTCCAACCATTTTGTGCCAGCTTTATGAACTCCCCTTTCATCATGTTGAGTGGACTATATTTATAAATTCCTGTCCTCTCTTTTTGCATCTTTATAACTAGTGGCTTAATTATGATTGGTTGTGTCAAAAAATTTTCAATGATGGCTACAATTACATGAGAATAATTATGATTTAATTAAATCTTTCAAGTTGCTTGGAATTTAGTACAGAACTTATATGAGTGACATTTGTAGTATTTGATGATTTGGTGGTTGATACATGGACAAAGTTACATATTTTTAAGTGTGCTTTGTAATTTCATCATTTTTTCTTTTTTTCTTTCACTTACTCAAATCAATGTTAATAAAGGCATGTTGAATGCTCTCTAAGTGAGGTAAGGCCATAATGCCTCACATAGCTTTTAGGCTTGTAGCAATTTTGAGACATGCCTAGGCAAGCACCTTATATTATGACATGTTATATATGGGCTCCGAAAATTAAACCCTAGTCCTCCCCACGTCTTCTTTTATCGATGAGGAGAGTTTTGATCAATTTAGGTTTTGGGGTAAATTTTCAGAAGATAGATTAAATTTTTAAATAAGATAATGCCCAGAGATTTTACCCTCATTTTGTGAGGACTTTATGATATGTGTTTTCATTTCTTATAGGCGCAAGCCCCTATATTTAATTATCCCTCCCGATAACAAGAGAGAACTTTTGATTAAGGCTAGTGCTTGAGTAGATACGTAGTATCCAGCACACAATAGCAACATAATTAAGCACTGAAAATTGAAAATATATCACCACATACTTAAAGTGGATAGTCGGGGAATGATGGTGAACCCGATCAAGATCTCATGATTTCATCATCTCGGTCTATCATGGCCCTTAGTCTGCTTAGTTAGAGGAGGTAGTCAATCCATTCTGATCGAAGTATCCTTGTCGAAAGCCATAAGTTGCTTCGTACAAGGGTAACTTGTAAACTTGGAGTGAATGTTTGTCTATGTGGATAGATTTGAGTCCACCTTAGCTAATAAGGGTCTTTTAGCCCTATCAATTATACCCTATTAATTCATTACTCAAGGATTTAGGGCTATTGGGAAACATATGGGCTCTAACCATGATCGTATTTTAATGGTACAATTTGGCTGCAAAATCGCTAGGTCAGAGGGCCCCGGTCATAACCATTTACCTGTGGCGTCATTTGGCGGCAAAACCACCGGTTAAAAGGTACATGTCACTTCTTTACTGGCAAGAGATTGTTTGAGAGTAAATCCTAGTAATATTCTCGATTAAACATTTGATCTTTGTAAGCTGAAGTGATTTTCAAATTTATCCACCTTGATAAATTGTTGCTGCTGGTGGATTGATTTTCATTTTAAATTCTTATATAGTTTATTTCATCTTAAATATTCTTAATTTTTAGTAATTTTTGAGTTTTGAACTTTTATTAAATAAGAGCCCGTTTATGATTAGTTTGGGGTTTAAGGGCATTTAAAATATTGAGATCTCTCTGGTTGATATTAACTTTCAACACGATCCTCATCAAGTTGACTTTATTGTCACTTAAAATATATTTGTATTTTGCATTAGAATTTGAGTATTTTTAAAGATAAGGTCCCCTTCGGTTGAGACTTTCTGTTAACACGGCTATCATCACAAATTATGTAATTTTGTTTCATTAGTTGAATCTTATCGATTGTTTTTGCTTTCCAACAAAAGATTGTGTTCGGATTCTAATTTTTGGAGTTGTCGTAAAAATATTGGATCAAGAGTATGTATTTAAATATATGAATTTTCTTCGTAAAAGAACTTGAAGGCTTTATATTGAACATATAAAATTAAATAAGTTTGTTAATTTAATGATAATAAGTTCCAAGAGTTTATTTTTTTGGTGATTAATTATCTTTGTAAGAGGCTTTGTAGGCCTAATATGAACGTATAAAATCAAATATTCTAGTCGACACTATGATCATGAATTTGTACGTTAGTTCAAACCATGTCAACTCCGATCCATTCAAACACGAGGATCAGACTACTTAATTTTACTTTTGACCTGCGCAACATTTTTAAATGAGTTTAGGAGCATAACACATTTGTCGGAGTACATGCAGGGCATTTAAATTTTATTTTAAATAATGTGTGTCATTTTGTGTACTTGCATAATTTGTGTGTGCACGCTTTTTGAGGGATATATTTAAAATCCACTTGTTATTTTTTATCCACGCATCATCTACAAACATCAAATATATACATATGTCACGCTCATTGTGGCTCATACGATTAGTGTTTTTTAGCTAATTTTTAGATATTGTATTTATATGGTGTATAAACATGTGAATACTCAAGGAATAAAAAGTATGAGTCTCAAAATTTCATCTTCACACATTTTAAACATGGATTCTCTCCTGGTGGGGCTCACAAATATGCCCTCATCCTTTAGCAATATGATCTTAAGTTTGTGAAGCCTATAAGTGTACCTTCCTTGCCTTTTAACAAAGGGGGTGGGGAGCGCAACTGTACCTTCCTAATCTTTTAGCAAAGGAAACCTAGACTTCGGGGACTCATAAATGATTTAAACTTTATGTTATAAATAGGAGGCAGGTTAAATTTATTTTTCATATTTCATTTTGTAAGGAAAGTATTGTTGAGGAATTTAGGTGTGCACAAGCAAAGTAGAAGGTAAGGGTTAAGATTTTGATTTGTGCTTTTTGGCGAGCAATTACTTCTAATAGTTTACTATAAGCTCTTTCTGCTATATTTTGATTTTTGTTCATTTTTGCTTTCAATGTTTAGAACTCAAGTTTTCGTGCTTTTTTTTTGTTTACTTAAAGAGTTAGGATACATTTCAATTTTTTCATTTAAATTTTATCTAAGTCATTTATTTTATTGTAAATTTTGGCAACACCCTAGCGTCATCCCCGTGTAGGGAGCTGAATTGGTGTATACTAAGCCTTTCCGCCTGTCATGAAAGACAATTATGGTAGGTGTCAGGTGATATGGTGGCTAAAAATCTCATTCCTCATCTATCAAGAAAGGCAGTCATGGGCCTTCAAGTACGTGTTTATAAAACACTATTTCCCTATCTGTCAAGAAAGATGCTTATAGGCACTTAATTTTTTTAATACATTTCATATTTCCTTGCCTGCCAAGAAAGTTTGTCACAGGTATTTATTTTTATGCAGACAAATTTTTCCATATGCTAAGAAAAGCAACTACGAGTACTTATTTTCATGCACATTAGTTTTCCCACTTGCTAAGAAAAGTGGTAATGGTTTCTTATTTTCATACATAAAATTTTTTCGCATGATAAGAAATGCGTTCACTTGTACTTATTTTTATGCATACCAATTTCTGGGCCTGCTACAGATTTTTATTTTCATTCATACAAAATTTCTAGCCTGCTAAGAAAGCGATCAAAGATACTTATTTCATGCATATGAATTTTTCATTTTTCATCCTGCTAAGCAAAGCATCACGGGCACTTATTTTTATGCATACAAATTTTCCTTCTGTTAAGAAAAGATGTCATGGGTGCTTATTTTTATGCATATGAATTTCCCTATCTACTAAGGAAAACGTTGTCGCATGTACTTATTTTTATGCATACCAATTTTTTCACTTGCTAAGAAAACTCGTTATGGGTATTTATTTTGTGCAAACAAATTTCCCTGCAAGCCAAGAAAGACGTTTGCGGATACTTATTTCATGCATAGCAGATCATAAAATAAATTAGTGTTGGGAAAATACCTTAGATGCGTGACGACGGAGGCGGAGAGATCGAGATGACGAGGCGAGGTGACGTGTGAGACCTGTGATGCACAAATATATATTTTTATGATAATTTTTTTTTTTTTTTGAAAAATTAGGGCTAGAGAGAGAAGGAAATAATACGGCCTCTTTTTCTAGTGAGTGAAAGAGAGGATTTGATTAGGATTTTGGTTAGATATTATTAGAAATGATATTTCTTTATTAGATTTAAATGAGAATTTGACTTTTAACCAGACACAATGACGAAAAAGAATTCATGTAGCTAGCCCCACGTAGTGGGACAAAGTCTTGATGTAGTTGTTATTGTTGGTGTCAGAATCTAATGGTGAGGAGGATGATGCTAGAGATAAAATTTCTCACTCAAAATTTAGAGAGAGAAAGAGGAAGTTTTTCTCTAGATAGAGAGAAAAGGAAGAATGAGGCTGAGAGGTGTTTGAGATGGAGATGGGTGTGTTTAGAGATAGTTTATGAAATTTCTCTTTTTAGTGAGAATTTTCTCTCTCGGTCTTGATTAAGAAAGTAGAGAATAATGGGGCTTTTTAGTTAAGATGGATTTTATGTGAATGTATAAGGATTTGAGGGATAGAGAGTGAGAAATTATTTTTTTAGAGTTAGGGTTAGGTTTAGGAAGTAGGAGGAAAAATAGGGTTAGGGTTAGGGTTAGGTTTCTGAAGTAGGAGGAAAAATGTGGGGAAGGAGAAGAAGAGAGGGAGACGAAGAAGAAGAGGAGAAATGAGGTGAAATGGAGTAGGAAGAAAGAAGAAGAAAGAAATCGGAGTTTCAAGGAGAAGAAGAGGAAGAAGAGGAGAAGTTACCTAGGTAGCGGCGGTGGAGTGGCTGATA